AGTGTGTGTGTAGTCGTGTGTCGTCCTGGTGTGTGGTGTGAATTGTGTTATTATTAACCTGATCCCATTCCTGAAAGCCTGGGGCCCGCGTGCGGGTACACAGATACCAAACCAAGATATACTTACAAACTCGCTTAGGATTAAATCATGTATCTCTGTAGCCTACTTCGTAGTTAATAAAGCCCACTACGGTTTCATTCACCTTGTAGAAAAATGCTGTTGTGTAGAATAATGTGTAATAGAAATGTGTGTTGGAAGTCAGGACAATTGGTTAAAATGTTCATTGAGTATGGTCTGATTAATAAGTGTTGAAAAATGCTCCTTCGATGATTACAATGCACAAGTTAAATAAAAAACTAAAAAAAAAGTTCTAGAAGTTTTATTCATGTGTTTAACCTTCAAAAACTCAGATAATCTGCTTCATCAGGCTAGTGCAATGGGGGTTGACATCCATTTTCCAAATGAAACCTCTAGCCTGCTCTCTAGACCAGCTTTTAAGGTTCGATATAGAGAAAACGAAAAATACAGAAATTCTCCCATCGTGAAATAATACCATAATCTTGTCTAGTTTTGGGTTCGAAGACATTTTATCTAATTTATGACCACATTTTTCAAAGTTAGCATATATACCGAATGCCCTGATTTTGGAAAATATTTACAGCTTTTTTAAAACGCATTACATAAATTGGGATTGTTGACCAATGTTAATACATCGATTGATAATGGTAACCTATTATGCTTCTGACGCGCCCATGCAAATATACTACACATGCATGCCATCTCTGTAAATGAGATGCTATATACATAATCGTACTTACCCCCGTAGGTGTAATTTCGCCTCTCTCGGCCCCATGTTGCCACAAGAGCGCAGCCATTGTTAATAAAGAACATGGTGGCCATACACGGTTTTGTGAGTAGCTACACATTCAAGCCACTCAACATGGTATTATTCTGGGGGAAATAAAAACAAATACCTCTTCTTTCACTAATGTCTAGTTACTGGGATGAGGTTACTGTACACGCTATCCACTGTTTCTTGCGCTGAGAGTAAGACAACGAAATGAATTGAGGTGTGCGTTTTGTTATTATGTCTTGAAAGTCAAATGAATGGATACAGCCATCTGTCACACTTAGTGCATAGACTTGAAGCATAAAAAACTGGGCTCACGGATCTACGCTCGCTTGGTGCTCAATATCCTTTAATCAAGGAAACAAAAAATTCTGTAGAAAATAAAAATTGCACAAAGATGGAAAGCACAATTGAACAGCATTGGCGTTAAGTGTGGAAAAACTGTAATTGGGTGTTTAGGTTAACTTGTGATTACTTTCAGCCTTTTTGTGTTTGCTCTCCCTCCCTGTCTCTTCCTCCATATCTTTCTCTATTCTTTGTCACCGGTCTCGCCCTTATTCCCTTGATCTCCAATACTTCTTCATGCAAGCATCATTCATAAATCAAACAAAAAACTAAGTATATTTTTGACTCACAGTCTAGTCTGCTTCGCTCAACTTCAGTAAGACTCCTTTTCATCCTGAGGTGATTGAATGCCATGGAGGACTCAGTTAATTGGCTTCTCCCATCTGATCTTCTAGATTCCAATTGTGTCCCCAATCCACTTGATAAGATTTACTCTTATGGTGGTGCCAGCGACAAGCTTCGCCCACCAAAATATTCACTAATTGATCATTGCGAGTGCTGCTTAAATGCCTACTATAAATATGCTGTAGTGTGGAAAACGTCTGGCATCAGGCCGGCATGTTTGATTCCTTGCAGGAGCGGAGGACCCAGTTCTTATGTCTGGGATCGAGGAAGCAGTTGCATTGTTGTAACCTGTCCTGTTTTTGGCCTTACTTTTTCCATGCAACATTTTTTTAGTTAACATGGTTGTTAATCTCGCACTGCTTAACATACAGTTTTAAGTATATAGTCCATTGGAAGTCTGATTTCGCGCATGCTTAAACTCCAATCTGTTCGCGCTATGAGGAATCCTCTGTTCTCTGGAGACACCTGGGTAGGTGTGAGAGGAAAATATTTTGCCACTGGAGACTCTTTGAGCATCATATGATCATTGATTACTAATAGCTACTTTGTAAAGAATGCCTGTGGTTTTAACTCCTCCATTATAGACAGCCAACTTTGTCCACAACATTGCCTTATATCTGGTATTCCACTTATGGTATGCGATTTCCTCCATTCTTTATGATACTCTTTGAACACTAGTTGAGATGTGACTAGGAGATCTAAATAGCCTATAAGTGGACGAGAGCGCTCAGGTTTGTTCCAGTTGGATGCCTGCACTCAAACCAGAAGTATCTTTGGCTTGCATTTCACTCTGGGCTATTAAAGTTACATTTTTGGCAAAGAAATTTGGGTTGAAGGTTTATTTTGTCTTTGCACAACTGGAAAGAATTCCATAGGACTCTTCAGTTTTTCCATGCAAAGTGCCACAAATCAGTTGTGGAATTTCAATATGTAAGTTATGGCAAATGATTGAGCGATGGTTCTGCCTACAGCCATCATGGTATTCGAGGGCCACTGACCAACTGCCGGATTTTGATGAATTTGGGAGTGAAAATTGTTGGGAATCAAAAAACAATCGTTAAAAAAACCAAGACAAATTGAGCTGAAAGATGCTAAAACACTGCTAGAGCTGGGTTTGTCATTATTGAGGTGATCCTTTACTATCAATTATTTTTATCAATTGTTAATAGAAGATTAAATTAGTTAGCTTTTTACGTATCTGCACAGTGAAACCCCTTCAGTAACGAGCCTTCCTGCACTTTTTATGTATGTCTCTCCTCTTAAGCACAAGCCTTGTAATACTGTCAAATCCGTTATTTCTGGTGGCACTAAGCCAAAAGTCCAAAGCAGACACGATTACAGATGGTGATCAATTCAATTGCACGGCAATGTGAAATGTGTTTTTGAAGGCAAACCCACTCAAGTGAGATACGGTGACATCTTGAGCCAGCATGGAACATATGTTGTGTGTGTGTGTGATTGTGTTTTACCTGATCATTCCTGAAGTGGAAAACTTGCAAAAATTGTAGCAACTTTAAAAGCATGAAGCTGGTAAACTGGAGGAGGAGGCATGTGAATGCAGCATGCGAAATAGAAATAGTGTGCTACGTGCAGCTATTTATACGATGCAAAATATTAGCTTTGACACAAGTAAAACATAAGTAAACATACTGTATAACAATGATTCACCTAGATCACCCCATGTTGCCACAGAGCGCAGTTAATACAGGTTGATTCACCCAAATTTGAAAAAAATTGTAGTGGTGTCTAGCCATACCGGTAGTTTTGATTTTGTATGTCTAACTTTCAAGACATCATCTTCTGCCACCACAATAGAGTGGAGGTGAATGGATTTTTGTTTAGTTGATCAAAGTATCAAAAAAAAACATTGAAAATATTCAACAGCAACATCTTTTACAGATATAGCCTCCCTTGTTTCTTCTAATCAGGGGAAAATACACAAAAACTATCTGGATAGCAAGACATCACTAGTAAGTAGAAAAATATTTTAATAATTTGGATTAACCAACCCAGGGAACTGTGGCTAAATGCTGTGTCTACCATAAAATGAAATATGTTATTGATTATTACAGCAGAGACAAAAACAGAGATTCTACACATTCACGGTTTTATTGCCAACAGTCATACAGAATAATGATAAACCCATACAACCAAAAGATTAAATCTGTAAACATCATTTGGACTTCTTGTTTCTTTGTTTTTATTTCCTTTTTTTTTTTTTACTATACCTGTTCCAAAATAGTGAGTTTCTGTGTGATTCCCTCCGACAAAGATTTATATTTAGAATCTGGAAATGATACATTTATAATATATAATAGAGAGGGAGGGAGGGAGAGAAAGAGACAGATAGAGAGAGGAAACAGTAGTCTCAAGCAGCAACACGCAGCAGGGCAAAACACAACCTCTAGTGAACAGGCATGCCCCATTGAAGATCAGCTATTGCACTTTGAAGAGAGAGAGAAAGAGAACTAAAAATAAAAATACCATTTGTACAAATAAAAGGCACATTTTCATCAACAGAAATCTGGAAAGAAGCCATGTTCTTTTTGTGACCCAGCGTGTTTGGTTGTATAATTTCTTTATGCCACACAGCTAATCGTCATGTTATCAGAGAGATTCAAGTATGGAGTTGTTCCTGCTCTATATGCTTTGTTCAAAACTTTGCACATTTTGCCAAGTTGATTCTACAAATTTGCTCTTCAGAAATAAAGATAATCAAAATAATTCTTTACATTAGCATAGTGCTTTCTTTTTTTCTTTTTTTTAAATTTAGCGCATTATTCCTTCTCCCAAGATATTAGATTTGATGAAATTATGTCACCAAGAATTGGACAAAATAAAAGTTAATGGCGGATAAGTGTAAAAAAAAAACAACTCAACAAATCAATTATTCTTTGTGTCCTTTTCTTCACACCTTTCTCTTAAAACTGCCTCTTCCCTTTTAAAGGGACACAAGGAATTAAGGAAAGTCTTATCGGCTTAAACCAAAATGGATCTGGTGCTGGATATTTTTTTTATATAACAATCCCAATACTGCTCTTTGCTAAAATATGTGTTGTTGTGAGATGCATGTACTGTACACTCCCTCTTGCAGCAAAATACAGGCACGTTATATTACATTGCATCTGTCTTGTCAAACTCATTGAACACATGCTGATTTTGGTTCAACTGAAGTGGTCCAGTGCATATCAAATACAATGCCCCATTCATTTGGTATCCATCAGAGTACTGACAATAGTAAGGATGAGAGCATTTAAAAAGTCTTTTGCCAGAACTGCTGTGTACTATTTCTATAAGCCGTTTCAAAATTTTGATTCCCACTCTACAAAAACAGTCCGTATAACCTAAATACAGTAAACTGTTCTGAGGAACGATTGTGTACAGTGGACTGAAAAATGCAAATTAACGCTGACCTGGCAAGCAATAATGGTTGAAAACTTATTAGAGTGGGATTTCCCCCCTGAATTGTAGTACTTAAAGCAATACACAGCCAGCATCCTTTGCTACTAATAAGTGATAACACAAGAGAATTCAAGTGAGTGTGACTGACAAGGGGGGTAAACAAGTATTTCTGTGTTGACATCTTGTGGCAATAAAGTAGTCTAACCATAAGATATCCACACACATCAATAAGTGAAGGTGATCTAATATTAAACATTCTGCAGTGAGTGCACACCGTGTGAACTCAAACATTCCTCTAATTCAGTAAAAAAAATGTAAATTACGTCTCAACACATCGGTAGTTTGTCTTGGTACAACTGACACAGATGATCTAACTGATCTAACTTTCTGATTGTGCTATTCATTTGTGATCATTCAAAAATGATAACACTAACTTTTAAAAGTTCACAAATAAAGCTGAAAATTAAGAATGTGAGAATATCCATTGCATGACTCAAGCCCCAAAACTAATCATTGACTACACACCTAAAAGAAGAATCCAGAGAAAACCAATTCAGAAATAATCACTGGTTGAAAAGCATAAATATTTTTACAGTGTCAGCATACACAAGCACCTCTTTCAAATAAAGGGGTATCAAGGTCTACGAACAATGTCCACAAGAACAGTTGATTTTAAGTCATGCGACTGCAGTGACACAAGAAAATACTTCATAAAAAAAAAGTTTATCTTTAAAGCCATTGACAGCACTATGAAGGATGTCTGTTTGCACCCCAACACTTTGTGACTACTGCAAAGCAAAACACATTCAGTTCTAATCCCCAATAAAAGCAGATTTCATATAGTGACTAATTGAGTGAGCTGTCACGCTATTAGTGAGATTAAAGGACATTTTCCCTAAAGTAATTCATTATAAACAGCATTTGTTGTCCAAACTGTTTCTGTTTCCTCCACCTCTTAGCCAACGGTTCCTGTAGAAATGTGGTTGTGCTTGACAGACAAAACTAAAATTTCAGGTTTTTATTCTAAAATACTCTTGTTAACACCTCTTTGAGGTTTGATTTGCACTTCATCTAAACTAAACTACAATTATCTTTTTTTTTTTATCTTTTAAAACACCAAATCAAGATATTATGTCCAAATGCACCTATGTCTTCTCAAAAATATAGCATTTCAGTCATCACAACAAAATAATAACAGTTCTATAAATAATTTTTTATCTTAAACAAATCTTGCGTCTTTCCAGTGCCTCCGGTAAAGTAACCACGGGCCAATTTCCCAAAAACACTGTCCGCGCATGGAGCCTTTAAGTATCTACTCTTCGTGTTTCATCTTCAAGTTTCAGGATGGTAGGAGAGACTGTCCAGAGCTTCCTATTTCCCATCAGGCATTGCAAGCATCACTGTTTCCTTCCAACGGGCTGTAGGAGACACAGTTCACTCCCAGCTGACACAATCGGCAGATTGTTGTCACGGTGATGGCCAATAAGATGGCTAATGCTGTCAAATACATGATCTTTTGTCCGTACCTGTGAAAAGAGAAAGATATGTTAAATGTCTGTTAACATATCTTTTAGCTTTAATTAATTTTCTTGCACAATCAAACTTCTTTAATTGTATGCATTCTCACACACCTTCACAAATCACTCATTTCTATCAGCAGTATCTCCCTGAAACACACTCTACATGTCTTTTAACCCCGTCTTACCGTGCCCTCAGGGTCCACCAGCAGTAGGTGTTTGGCAAGTCCATTGTGCATGCCTGTCAGTACGTAGGACCCTGGGTTGGTAGTGCTCTTACGAACCAGGAAGTCCCCGTCGTCTTTTAGCAGTTTTTCAGCGTCACGGCGGCTCATTTTGCCATGGTACCATGTCTGGCCCTCCAGCTCCTCCTGTGCCCGGAAGGCCAGTGAGCGCACAAGAAGAGGGCTCGAGTTGTCCACGGATGCTGCCTTGTGAAGTCCAGAAGCCTGGGACTGGGCTTGCCCCTGGGACGGCGGGTGGGACTGCGACTGAATGGCATCCTCAAAGGGCTCTGGTGCAGGTGAGGGCAGTGCCAAAATGATGAATTAAGAGGAAAGATGTAAAAAATGCAGGTTTTAATGTAGGTTCAAAACATAGGCTTTGCAAATACTTTATGAGAAAGGAGGTGCACTCCACACATTTGTCAGACCTCAAGGATACGCAGTGCTTTGGGGAGCAGCGCTGAATGCAAGGCACCTTTAACTTTCAGAAAAACTGTCACTTCCACAGAAACAGAGAATCTGGTGGCCTCATGTTGCACTAGTAAGCCCAAACATAAATCTAATAATGCCACTTCAATTTAAACCACTCCTTTGGAATAGAGTTAAAAATAATTCCTTGCTGTGTTATGTCCCACACAAACATCTTGTTTCAACAGGAAATACTATATAATAGGAATCAAAAAAGTCAAGATCCTGTTTTGTCATTCACTTCTGTTTAAGCTAAATGGGATAAAGCAGGCAAAAACCCTGTAGGGGTGCTCACCATCATATAAAGATACATGGGAGAAAGAAAGGACATTTCTATGCCCAGTATAGCAGCTACAGAATGAAAGATTTATCAAACACAGAGAAGATAGTGACAAACTAACTATGTAAATATACTTGTACTTGAGCATTAACATAGGTGGTGCTATTAGGAGTCTAGAGGGAGGCTTAGTTTGAAAATTTTGAAAATAATTTTACCAGTTAACTCACATAGCTATAGTGCTGTCAGTATTACACTGATAGCTTATAGACACATTTTACATTCACATGAGATGTATGACTGTGATCCTCTGTAAGCTCCGGATTAATTCATGTTCATTTGTGTGAAAAATCAGGATATCTATATCAAATACTTCTGCACTCTGGCAATTTAGAGTTACCAAAGCATGTATTTGTATCATGACAGGACATAGACAGAGGTAGACCATACAAACTTTACTCATAAAGGACAAGAGCAATGTTTAAAACCCAGAACCTCCTTGATATTTGACAACATAACCACTAAGCTTATTTCAATAGTCTCTTACTTATTTAATTTTGTATATATATTTATATTATGTTATGCCGATGATACATAAAACAGTATTTCTAAAAATACTATAAAATGATTTTTGCTACTCTTAAATAATAAATATAATCCACACCATAGGATGAAGTTTGGGGATTATTTTTCTGCTGAGCTAATGGTGCTCACTTTTATGACTAACTAATAATGGTCAATAAAATGTTCACTACTATCATATAATACTGCATTTAATTACTTATGCAATAACTATCAGAATCCAGTAACTGAATTGTTCCACTTTTACGACTTTTTGTCATGCAAGTGCTGGAGTTTGTTGGCAGAGGAACAAAGTAAAAAGTGAATGTTAACAGTTAAAGAAATACAATAGGTGTACAATTACACCTGAACTTTGATTTCATATAAGAACAGTTCACTCCATCGTATAGTTCACTGCTCACATGTAATTTGCTTCATGGATTCTTCATACATAGTTACACACATCTTTATGTAACAGATCTTTCCATGTATAATAATAGCAAGGCTAAGGTTGACTTCGAAAGGAAGAAAGAATAAAGCTGTACACTGACATTACAACTGTCCTCCTATTGTCTTTATACTGATGGGGTGTTATTATAATGCCATACTAAAGTCACTGAGGAACAAAAGCTAGGAAACCTCTATAATTAAGAACTCTGATTAGAAAATCATCTTACAAAGTAATTCTGAATGCAAGATCCTGTTCAGATACTTTGTAGTGGTTCAACAGGTGAGCCTTAATGAGTGCCTACAAATCCACTATTCAGTTCACGTAACCAACAAAAACTCAAACTTCACTACACACCAGCCAACACTTACTCATGTCAAACAGGTCCTTCTGTGGGCTCTCTTTGGCTGCAGCCGCCATGCCCTTTGTCACATTTTCTGCCTCTGCCTGGAGTGCTGCAAGCACCTGGGCGTCAATCTGCTGAGTGTTCACATACGCTGACATCTCTCCTGTTTTCGGTGCCTGACCTTTACTCTCTGGCAGACTGCTTATATCAAACGATCCTACAGAAGACATTTGGAGAAACAACCACAGCCACAGTATTTAATTGATAAAATGAGTCTTGTGTATTTAGATAGTGGGAAGCATGGATATTTTCTTACCCTGTTGTATGAATATGGGCTTTCTTTCTTCTCCCCAGTTTTCTCCACAGTGCCGCCCTTGGTAATATGTCTGATCTACTGAACCTGGGCCCATCTGATGACATACGGTTATCAGTTAAGATACATTACTCAAATGGAGATCATGAGTTGACATTTAAAAAATATTTGGCATTTTGCTATATCACGTGATAACACAAGGTTTTTTTGTTCAAGTTCCTGAGATGAATCCATGAGTTGTACCTGGCATCCATCTGGTGCTGCATTCTGATTGGTCAGCCGGGTGTCGATGAAGCCTCCGGGTGGTGGCATCTTGCCAGGGATGTTGTTATAGTAAGGATGTTCTGCTGACTCCTCTTCTTCCTCTGTCCATGGTAACTCCTCCATGTTTAATACCCTGTGGATAAACATGGTTTAATCATGAAGCCCAACGCTGTCTGTGCGTGTACACTTGTGTTTGTGAATATGCACTTTTGCGAGTGTATCATCAACGCCTCACCTGTCATGTGTGGAGGACAGTTTGCTTGAGGGACACTGCAGGTACTGCTGGAAGCGAAGGTCAAAGGCCTGGCCGATGGTGCTGATGACGTCCTGGGCCAGCCCGTCAGAGCATTCAAGGATGTGACATGCTGACGGTATCAGAGCAAAACATTGTAATAAGCATGTTGCATGTGGGATATGAGACACTCTATAATGTATTAAAGGAACACCTACCTCTTCTGTTAACAGGATCCTTTGCTACATAGGCAACGTAATCTGTTGTGTCCTAAAAAACAAAACAAAAGACACATTACAACAGTTGTAGGAATCTCCAACTATAAAAAACATAATACCCTCATCCCACAACCTTGATTTTCTGGTTAAGTCACTTTTTCAGTACCAATGATGGAAAGGTTTAAACTTTCCAAACATGGAATTACTAATTCACAATGTAACACATTCTGGATATTTGGTTATTAACCTTGTTGCCATGTTTAAAAAGGGATAAACATCAGGCCATTGAGTTACTTACAGGGTCTCCACCTGATGCAAAGGAGATGGATTGCATGTGATGGTTGGCTATGATCTGTCAAGAGCAAAATTATACAGTACATAAGAGTTAGCCAGTGCCTCTTTATACATACAGATAAATAAAAACACGCATGCATTAATTCTACACACATGTACTGTAAAATGTATATCAGAATTTTTTGAATTTCCTTGCCTTTACCCTTTTATTCAACAACAGAGGACTGTCTACTATCTAACTATAAGGCAGCCATATTGGAAGTATTTAGCTTTCAGCAACTGAGGATTAAAAGGAATAGTTCGACATTCAGAGAAATACACTTTCACTGACTGGACAGTAGGAACTTTAGGAACTTCATGCTCAACATATTTCCATTATAATTTGCTTTATGAATCCAGCCAGCTTCCTACAAGAGTTGGCAAAAACAGGAACTTGTTTAATTTCACCTTTCTTGAGCTGCACCTCGGAGATTGGTACCAGAAACAGAAGAGGTTGGGTGAGTTGGTGTTTTGTGAACAGCTACTCTGAAGCATTCTCTGCATTATCACCAAAGGAACTGGCACTCAAGACATCACAAAGAGTATTCTGTCTTGTTTGAGTGACATTGTGTTGAATTAATTTTTCACTTTGGCACCATCTGCTGGCAGTACCAAGAATAACACAGTGGTAGACAGCAATGCACAGTGCAACCACTGACCACCCATGCCACACAAAAAAAACTGTTTTATTAGCCATGTAACTGGCTAAATATAGTGATGTGCACAGAGAAAGTCAAGTTGCCAACTTCCTCTGGTAATTCTAGCAACATCTGGAAAGATCATGTGCTCTTGCTTGTCTTCCTCTTTTAACTAATCTCATTAAACAAACATCCATAAATCTTTAAAAATATTTTTAGCAACCACTATAAATAAGTTTTCCTTTATTGCTGCAATTGTTTTTCCTGTTTCTTGTATCAAACCCCATTTCAATAAAGTATTTCCCCCACGGTGATTTAAGTAATTTGTTCTTGATTTGTTTGATTCCTGAGCTCAAATTGAAACAACGTCCTACCGTGATACTTTTTTTCACCTTTGTCCCTGCCGTTGGATGATCTTAATTTGAGGTAGCACTTGTATGTGTAGTAAAACCATACATTTCTAAAACAACAAGATCTCTTTTAAGCCAATTCACTGAGCTTTCGAGCATATGCCCTGGTCTTCTTCAGTAAATGTATTTGTTTTTTTACTGATCTAGTGATACTGTGGAAACCAATAAACAACACACACATTATATATGTGGTCGCTGGGGGGGGGGGGGTTGCTTTAATTTTT